TTATGTTTCAATAATAAGGTTCAATTTTGAAAAAACTTCTGTTATGAGTTAGTTCTATTTTCTATTAAACATGCTATGATGTCCCTACACATACATCTACTTTGTTATTTTTTTCTAGACACTTCCACAGCCTAATCAATCGATCTATCTGTACCACACAATCAATTTTGTCGACACCAGTGTTGGGCAACTTCGCCCACTCAGCCAGAACATTGCGTGCAAACTTATGTGCCACATAAATACGTTAAAACCATCCTTATTCACTAACCACAAAGTGCATTACATGTGTATTTGTAATTTGGTAAATATTTTTACGTAGGAAGCCCGTATTAGCGATGCCCGCAGGTATTAGCACACGTTTGATAAGTAGTAGGAAGTTTCTAGTAGCCTAGTATAATGATTTATTTCAATAATTTATAGCCTTTTTACACTTAAACTTAGGCCTTGTCCGGAGCGTACGGCGCGTTGCGTACCGCGCGCGTCTCAAAGAGCCAATATAGACCAAAGACGGTGCCCTATAGGGCTAATGTACAGCCGGGGTTGTGGGGTAAGCACAATGAGACATCGCGGCCTTGGCCTAGAGCAGGAGAAGGATCGGGAGGGTTTTAAGTCAGTTACCCTGGATGTCTGAAAGTAATTTGATGATTTTCCCCTCACTAAAAAAGGTCTTGTCCTGAGATTTCCTTGACTGTGCCAACCAGCTTAATTCTGATACAGAACAATTACCTGCTTATTACCTAAACACTTGTTCAAATTGATCTCTTAAAAAGCATGAAACTTAGCATAGACAAGGTACTTTACATCACGAACAACTTTCAATTAACTATTTATTTGCAAAACAATAGCTTCGTTACTAAGAAATACCGAAATTTTCTTTACAACCAATTTCTACAACACCATAACGTAACTAAGTGTCAATAAATCCCAGAGTCACAGAGAGTTCCTCATGGGCTGCGCACGCGCCTCTTTCACACGCACACGCGAGCAGTGCGCACGCAACGCCTGCCAGTAGCGCACGCGTTCCTCAATAGTGACCTTGAACCATGCGCAAGAGCAAGTGGAGCGTGAACACATTCAGAATGGCCCAGTAACCGAGTCTTCCTCAACGTCGACAGCATTAACTCACTTGTTGAATCCTAGATACTGTTTAACTTGTATATATTTTAGAGATTATTTATTAATATTAAGTTTTGAGTAAAACAACCAAGTTCTCGGAACTGTGTTACTATCTTTACTAATATTATAAAGCTGTATAGTTTGTTTGTTAGTTTGTTTGAGCGTTTATCTTCGAAACTACTGGCTCTAATAGACTAACGAGGAAGGCTATAGGCTATAAAAAACGTCACGATTTAAAGGACAGTAGGAGAAATTATTTAGACTATACTTAAAATTGTTCAATCGACTTTTTTCTTACAAGTCATTAATTATTTATTACGAAAAAATCTAATCTAAATGAATTTTCACTATTGTACGAACGACTCCTACAATATCCGTAATTCACAAAAACGGGTGCAAAAAAAATAACATAAGTAGTATTTTTTCTAATACACGATTCCGTCCATATCTAGACACTTTACGAGTATAAGCACAACTATCATACTTGTTGCAAACGATTTGAATTTCATTTTTATGGCTATTTCTTAAACAGTTATCGTTCGAGTATTTAGCAAAACATCGCACCATTCAGATAAGGTCAAGCGTTGCCAAATATAAATATACGTTAGCTTCGTAATTTTTAACTAATGTCCAATTATCACTTAATTGGATAAACGAAGAGCTAGACTCTCCTAATCCTAATAGTTTATAGAAAATGAATACTAAATATGAATTCTATTCATTTCTCTTTATGGGATTGAGCAAACGATTGTCTTCTATATCATCAGACTAGTTGCAATTCTGTCATGTTTTTGGAGTTTCAGCAGGGTTAGGGTTGTGGGTGCAAGTGCAACAGTTGCCTTGTCCCTTAGAATAGCAGAATAAAAAACGGGGTGGTATTTAGCCAGTAAGAGTCATACCTTCACTCTCGCCCCACCCAGGGGACAAGACAAGTCATTAGATGATCTTCATACCTCTCATAAAAAACCTTTTGCGGGTTACAAACTTGAGGATTTGTGGAGTTGATGATGAAGGGATATTAAGACCTCCTACCGGAGATTAGCCACCTCGCTCTCACAACAGAACAAACCGCAGCTGATGTTTCACGCCGGCTTTCTGTGAAGCGGTGGTAACAATCCGGTCGAGCCCATTTCTGTCGAAGGCTCACGCGAAGGCTCTTCCACACTTTTTGTCGTAAAAATTATAACCATCCAAAGTTTTTGTTTGCGTGAAATGAAGATCTTTAATATAAAAACAACAATTTGCAATAAAGTAAAAAATATTATTCAAAATAATTTTAAGAATTTGGTTACGATTTGCTTGCACTTTACACCTGCGGTTCAATGGATACTGAATCATAGTATCCTGTACAACAGCATTACAATCAATAGCTTGCTTCATTATTGTTCTTACTTGGCTGTTTAAAGCTCTACAATGGCGCTAAGCCTCATATTAATTACAAGATTTAACAACGAAATACTTGGCAATTAATAATATGGTATTATTTGTGACAACTACATGTTTTTATGTGATTATAAGATGTTGACTTTTAATAAGGATAAAATATGTTACGTCTTCTTTGTTGCCAATCCGGTAATATATACAAATAGGAATTACATGAACAGCATATTTTTTTATATTATATTATACTAGCGGTTGCCCACGACTCCGCCCGCGTGAATGTCGATTTTACACTATTTCAAGTTTTTTTTTATTTACTTTGATTTTTATATATTATTATAGATATAGATTAACATTATATTGGCGTGGTGGCCCAGAGCTTCAAGTGCATAATCGTGCGAATTCTCAATCTGGCAAGTACCAATGTGACTTTTCCAAGTTATATGTAGGTAAGTACTTTCTACAATTACTTAGTTTAGACACCACTGAGATAGGGTGGGTGTAAGAAAACATCGTGAAAAAACCTGGACTTGTAATTTCTAATTATAAATTTTAAATCGCCAACCCGCCTTGAGGAAGCCTGGTAATTAATGTTCAAACCTTCTCCGTGTAACAAGAGGCATTTGCTCAACAGTGGACACACAGCTGATGATGTATTTTAAAACGAAATTACTTATTTGCCCTTCTGTTTTATTAAGAAAGTTTAAGAGAATTTTCATAATTGAGATGAAAAAATCAATAAAGATAATAAAAATTATGTAGGCCTACTCTTTTGCGTCACAAATTATTGGTACTGTCTATTTGCTAATTAAAGCGTTAGTTAACAAAAACAAAGACAATAACAGCGATTAATCTTACAACAATAGAAAAAGACGCAACAAAAAAGTAGCTCCAATTTTACAGTCAACCCAACTGCACTTTACTTAATGACAAATTTGGTCTTTAACTCAATATGATAAGGATTAATATTATCAAATTTTATTGCTCCACAGTTTCTACTGTCTTAATCAAATCGTAAGAACAGCTGGTGCAAGGTCTTCGATTCAACTCCAAGTGGTTTCCAGGAATTTATATGTATGTATAATACCAATTTTTTTTCTTAATAATAATCATAGTCACTTCGTATCGTAATAAAAATACTTCCCGTGCCCATTTTTCGCAGATTTTCCACTTGACCCAAAGGTTGACTGGTAGAGAATGCCATATGGCATCAAAACTGACTTTTGTACCAACTTCATTTCATTGTGTACAATAAAGCATAAATAAATAAATAAATTAAATTTACGTGTTACTTTTTAAGTCATATTACACTATCTTTCCACATCTTTAACGTAAAATACATTATATGTAGGTAGGTGCTGACAAATAGCAATATAGATAAACTTGAGCATTCTTGCAAATGTTACATTACAGAATAATAACCAGTAGGCCCACTTAGCTATATTATGTATATAGCTAGCTATACACTGTGTAGCTCCATCCCTCCTTCTCGCCCAGAAGGTGGACGCTTTAAGACGTCATGGTAGGCCCTCAGAGCTTTGAAACGTTGATGAGCGTTCTAGCGAACATTATTAGCGTAGTATAGAAGTATTTATAACAAATATCGACATAAATTAAAAATGTTGGTAGCAATGTTTAGCTGCAGGTATGTTTGACTCGGCTCGTTGTTCAGATCAACAAACGTCCAATGTTCTGTTGCTAGTGAATGCTCCGACCTGAGGTGGGGCGAGAGAGAGTGAATGATTAAGTCAAAAACAATGTTAACCACATTGTTGAAACAAATGTTTTTGACTTTTAACTTTAAATCAGTTTAAGATAGACGTAGGTTTCGTAATTGCACATCTTTGCGAGTGACTCGGAGTGACAATAAAATGTCGATGATGCAACATAACAAGTTTGTCAACAATGGAACATCAACAGCCGTCGTGAGAGGTTCGGATCACAAAAGAGGTTTTTATACATTTTTATACAATTTTGAGGTTATGTAATCATTCTGTTGATGATATTTTGCCGCGTGAATCTAAAAGGGCATCTTTAGATTCATCGACATTTTCTATTGTACTGTACTGAATTAATGTTTAGGTAAATTCAATTGTTATCATTATTTTATTTTTTTGAAGTAATGAAGGACAATGGTTTGTATTTGAATCATTTTGTTTTGAATTTATATTCAATTCAGCTCTCGTGTCCAATTTGCTTTGTCAGATAATACTATATGTTTTGTACTACTGACTCATATTACAAACCCTTGTTGGTTTTGTATGTGTAAGTAGGTATGTTTATGTTTTAAAGGACCGCCCCTCATTCTTTGCAAACATGATCCTAAAATTTCAGCTTTCGATAGACCGTTAATAAAATTCAATTGTCTATTAAAAAATTAAATAAAAACTCTACAACTTCCTTAAATGCACAATTCACATGCAATTAACGTACTAACTATTCCATTCAAAAACGGTTACAATTCCCTAGAACACATGGTTTCTTTCACACAGGCAAACAAATCCTTACCTGGTAAACAGTCCAGTGTTGGTGAGACCATATTTGGTCTCTCCAGCCTTGATGTACAGCTTGCAGGCGTCGTGCTGCCGACAGCAGGTGTCGGTGAAGAAGAACAGGCCCAAGTCACTAGAGCGAGCTGTGGCAGAGCGACCGTCTCCACACCACACAGTTCCTGGGATAAAAAGGTTATGAAGAATCTCAAAAAGTCCAAGTAATTCACTAATTTCTTTTTTTTTAAATCGTGACACCACGGATAGGGTTCAACATGGCCAATGCTTAGCAGGGGCCACGGGTCAAACGCAATAAAACAGGAACGGAGAAGGAACGGGGGGGGGTGGTTCTTAGTCAGTGAGAATCTAACACTCACTCTCGCTATACTCTGCGCGAGAGAAGTCACTTATCGATTTCCTTCCACAAAAACAACACCAGTGAGTTGTGGATGTGACATAACCGACATGCGACAAAAAACTGACTTTTTTGGATAACACAAAGAATTGTTCCTTGCAGCAATCAATCTCTCGATACGTTGCGCGCCAGCCAGTTGTTCAGCTAATGCGCCAACCACATTTGTTGACGCATAACGCTCATCATTCGCCAAAATAGCTTGAAGTATGACACAGACATTGTTCACAGAGTAAAAGGTTCACTTTATCAATGATCACTGCTACCTGCCTCAGGCGAATATTGTATACAGACCCTTACTGATAATCACAAGAAGATCAAAACTAACGACTAATATTTTCAAATCCACCATCAGCCTGCACAACTAAAAATTTTATTTATGAAACTTCATAAATTTTTATCCATGAAGACATACCTGGGTAAATAGCCTGCACCCTATCCTTAAAGGAGTCCACAAGTGAATTGGCGACGTTAGCCACGCTGGTGACTCCTGAGGCCAGGCTGGAGACGAACCCTCGATCATTGTCCAGGGAACCAATGTCCCGGGCGCCTGCCATCAGCTGGCTGAGAGGTTTGCTGATACCAGAGGAGATGGTCTTCAGGATTCCACGACCAAATTGACCTGAGGAGGAACCAGATTTCTTTGTTACACAAAACTTATTTAGTTTTTTTTCTAAGAGTAATATATAAATAATTATGTATGTGTGTGATACCACGGTCTCATGACAAATGAGTTTCGCCGTGAAAGTAATTTGTCTCTTATTAGTTATATAATTATAATTTTGTTCTCGTTTGCTGTTCTATAGATCACGTAAAAAATGTTCCTTGTTTTCGATTTTGCCTGAATGGGACACCCGGTCTAGTTCTAATTCTAATTCTATGTTTATTTTTATAATGCCATAATTAATATTGGGAGCTTATAGAATATGAAGGTGGTGAAACAGATTTAAAGTTTTGTCTTTGACTTAAAGTCTCGCTTCCCTTTTATAAGTAGGTCTACTTGTATCTTCTTGAAATATGTTGGCTTCAAAATCGGATCATATAACTTTAACATTGGTGTATTTATCATTACTTAATGGTCGTGGTGACCCTGAGGTTAAGGCTTCCGCTTTCCATGCCTGATGCATGGAAGCTCGCACCTGGCAAGTAGCAATCTGACTTTTTTTGATATCACTAATCCGCTTTGAGCAAGCGTTATGATTAATGCTCAAACCTTCTCCGTGTTAGAAGAGGACTTTGGTCAGCAGTGGGCACTTATGATGATTATGATGTGAGGGGTTGTACTTAAATCGTAATGATCTGAGATGTACCGTGTGACTAAACCTTGGACCATTTCTTCAGCATCCGACATGCAACTACTAGAACGGAGCAAGTTAATATTCACAATAATAAAGATAAATAACTAAACGTCGCATTTTTGTAAGACAACTGCGTTACATTGCAAAACCACATTCTTGTGCCACATAATTGAAAATTCCAAGAATAATATTCTACAGTACGGAAGTAATTTATTGCCTTTCAGGGAAATAAAAGCATAAACTTATGTCATACGACAACTGTAGTAAAATAACCAATTAATAATGACCTTGATACTCATAACGTTATTCATTTTTATCAATGAAATCAATTAAACAACTCTACAAAGTCCTTGATCTTAGTCAAACTGTCGCAACTCCACTAAAGATATCATCGGAACTAAACGCCATGGAACAAGAATAAAATTACAATAAATAATAAAATATTTCCCTTCGGCCCGTCAAAATATTTCGACAGATTTACTTGTTAAAACAGAACTGGTTTTCAAGGGAATATTTTCGACACTTTTCGGCGCAAAATGGAATGTTGTAACCGTAACACGCTCATTTTAAATATAAAAGCAAGTTTTTGTTTAATTTGTATTGCAGAGTACTATTTTTGGATGCTAAACGTCCTTGCCAATGTACTATTTATACACTTTGAGGAACAACGAAGTTTTTAAACCCTTTTGCATATGTAAACTTATGGCTATTTCCTTAAACGTGTAAGTACAGGCGAATGAATGAATTCCAAAATGGCTGCGGTCGTTCCACATTTGGTTTCGATACTAAAATTATACACGGAAAAGTTATTATTACTCTCAGTCCAGCCACAAGCTATAAATAATTTCGAAAGTCCATATGTAAAGTTATTTCAATAAAACTTAGTGCTTCCATCAAGACGAACTTAATAGACAATACAAAATTGATTTTCAATTGTCTTTTAGAAATATATTTCAACTTCAACAAGAACTATCCACACTAGATTTAAAAACAAACGGGCGATACGCATTTTATGACAAAGTTAAACCAGTGATCCCAAACTAAAAAAGTGGAACGTACCCACAGTCGATATAGATCTACATTACTGCTCATATACTCAGGTTTCAAGATCACAGAGATATGAATGATGCAACGGATATCTAACTCGGTGATCAAATGGGCAAGGGAAAACTTTGCAAGCGTGCCGTAAACACGCCATGAACTTAATGATTGCAATTTCACAAAACAAAATTGTAGTAATGTACTCAACGACCAATGACATAGCTTGCACGAAATAGTGTCGACTTACACTTGCAATAGTGTGAAACAAATCTAAGAGTATAATGAGTAAGTAAGTGTGAATTTATTATTTTGGCTATGCTTATAAACTAAACTTTATGCCGCACTTAAAGCCACACTTTATGTCGAAATTACTATATGACTAACTTGAGTTAGATATCTTCTGAATTCAACATAGTAGTAAAGCTACTATGTACTTTATGTTCAATAAAGTTTTGTACTCACCAATACCACCATTTTCCTCTCGACTCCTGAGCCTCTCTGCCTCCAACATCTCACTCTGCCTCTGCATCCTCCTAAACAAGTCCACTATGCCCTTAGGTACCACTCTCTCTGCCACACTCTCCACTACACTCTCCACCACACTGCCAGCGAGCCCAAAGATCACAGACAAAGCATCCGTCTTCGGCACAGTTGTAGGAACAACATCCTTAGAATCATAATAATCTTCTGGTACTTCTTCTTGTACTTCTGTGTCTAATTCTGTAAATATTGGTACGTCTGATTCTTCTTCCTCAGAACTCAAGTCCACTCTGCTTAGATTTGCGCTTTTTGTTGTATTAGACACAGTTATTGTTGATGTTTCCAAGTTTACTTCAGTTACGTTCGTGTAAGGATACGAAGTGCTCTGCTCCGTGATGTCAGTGGTAGTATCGTATGCTGGTGTTGTTGTTTCAGAATCTTCTTGTTTGTTTGTATATCTCTCTGTGATGGGAGTCTCTGTAACTGTTGTAGTTTCATCGTCACTATAATAAGTTGAAGATTCTGTCTCCGGCGTTGAGCTGGGCAGCGTCACCGTCTGCTCGATTATAAGTTTAGGCGTTTTTCTCGTGGTGGATAATGGTATCACTGTCAGGTCGGGCTCGATTGTACTCTCAAATATACTTACAAAAGCATTCTCTGTTGTACTTAACAGTTCTAATGGTATGACACTATAATCTGTGGTCGACGTTGCGTCTAATTTGGTTTCAGTTTTATTCCTATTACTATCTACTTTCTTATCAAAGTCCTTAACTATGGTATATCTATGTGATTCTTTGTTGAAGTTCTCATTGGAGTTCCATGGGATCATTCCATATTTCTTGTTGTACTTGAGAGAGAACTCCTCGTCAAAGTCAATGATGCTGTTGTCGATGTTGTCCTCTCCATACTTGGTGGATGTCTGCGTGGAGATGATGGACTTGGTGTGGGATAATGCTGGCCAGCTCAGCAGGAGGAGGGCGCTGATGATGAATTGCCTCATTTTCTTCCTCCTGCGGTGATACATTCTTGTTTAGCCATCTGAAACAAATAATAAAATGTTTAATGCTGTTTTATTATTATTAAAACTTAAGTGAGTGTGCTTCAAAATTTTACGATTAATCTCCAACCAGAAAGCTTATTATGTAACAACCATGGATTTCAAATAATCGTATAGTATCGTTTCAAACTTCAATATATATAGAATATATAGAATAAACACAACGAGACCTGGTTGCTTAACATGAGAGCTCATTTCACAGCTGTATGTGTCTCAGACTTAGATAATAGAGATTGAAGATGTTGTTAGTGCACGTTATTCTAGTGTGTGTGAAACTGTGACCCCTCACATACGTGGGGTCATAGAATATTACTCTGAAATACGGTACACATGGCAGTTTCTCTTATTATTTATTACTTAGTTTTAAAACGATTTTCTTATTGCTTAATGCTGAAAGCAGATATATAATGTATCAACAAATGAATCCTCAGTTTCCATAATTAAAAAAATCTAATCATGCTCTTACCTAAAATGTACTAAAGAAATACTAACTGTACCCTTTATATTTTTGACCACAAAACATTTAAGGACAACTTAGAAGTTCATTACAGCTTAGCAGTCAAGAATAAAAAAACTGTAAAACATTTTTTTTATATTCCATAACTATAAAATTTTGTTCTATAGGTAAATTAACGATAATACTGAAACTCCAGTTACCGGAGGCCCAATCCCTCCTCCTCCCCCAATCCTTAAATATCCGAAACCCTTATACCTAAAAGTCCGACAACGCATCTCCATTGGTGTTGCGGGTGTCTTTGGGCGACGCCGATTGCTTGATTGGTAATGTCTGTCCGTCTGCTCGTTTGCCGACGTATACCATAAAAAGCTCCCAGAATTAGTAGTCAAAAAATTCGTCGTTTCGTCAATCTTATTTTATAAAAAAAATATTACAAATATAGTCTTATTCTCATTTATATCTTAGAGCTATGGCATATCAAAAACAAGGTTGTATATATTGTAATTACTATGGCACATAAATGTTTGCATTGTGTAACGTTATGTAACAGTCACAGCTGATGCGCACGCGCCTTCCAACAACACTTTACACTTAAATATAAAATAACAAAATCACACTTTTCATTCGTTTACAGAATAGGCAGTTATAATACCATTTTCCACTAAACAGTTAAGTATCTTATGAAAAACCAGACCATAGTTAAACCGTGTTAATTAAAAATTAATTTGAAGAAACGTTTGCTACGATTCTCGACTAATATCAAGCCGCAAAATATACCATTAACGTATCGAGTTATCGCTTCGAACAGTTCTAAGCATAAACCTAGTAATTGCTATTATTTCTCAAGGAAAAGTCGATAAACGAGGAAAGCAATAGTGTTTACAGCCGTACTCAGAGACATTTAATGATGACTATAGTATAGTCTATTATTAAGTACGACTGTTAAACGTTATTTATTTATTTACAGAGGCAGTTACCATGGCAACTAGAGTCGCAAATTAGCACATTACGTCATAATGATTACGTCACACATTACCAACGACGCCGCAGTAACTGCAGACGTCTAGTGCAATGTTTTATATTATACATAGGTTTATATGTAACGTCAGAATTATATGTTATATGATAATGAACTTTATTGTTATACACATAACGGTGTCAGTCGGTCAAAGTAGTGCTCGATAAAGAATAATTTTAGCGCTTATGAATTAAAATTTGCTTAAATTTATTACGTTTAATATGTAATATAATCTTGAAATCTGTAACAATACCTAATAGTAAAAAGTATCTAAATGTTATTATTAGACATTAGCCTGGAATTTTGGAAATACGACCTCGATATCTTCAAAACTGGACTTGGTATTATTCATTAGTGAAAATTGGGCGTTCTTTGCAGGCACACCTTCCACAACTTAATTCATAATTCATTATAATAAAAACAAACTTAAAATATCTAACATAATTATGTCAATATTATTTAATTTTGAAGACGAAAGATGAGAATATTTGTTTCGGATAGGCTCCGAAACTAATTGACTAATTGGAAAACTCTATCACTGTTGGGAAGCTACACTATCCGCGGTGATCATTGGCATAGATACTAGGCGTGAAAAACCGCGTGGTGCAGCTAGTTACTTACTCCTCCTCCTCGCGTCGGTATCCTCAGTGCTGAGGGTCGTGACCACCTCGTGGAAGCAGTGTACTGCGTATTACTCTCCGAGATCTATTTCTATCTGCCGCCAAGTGGAGAGCATCGTGGACTGTAGTGTTGAGAGTGGTGCGAATCTGATCCGTCGAACGTATCGGACTTCTGCCTCTAGGTCTCTTTCCTTCCACTTTACCATTTTTTTTTGTCAGGGGAAAATCATCCAATGACTTCTCCCGCCCAGGGTAAAAAGGAGTGTCAGACTCTTACTGACTAAAAACACCCCCGTTCCTTCTCCTGCTCTGAGCCGAGGTCGCGGTGCCTCATTGCGCTTACCGCGCAGGCCCGGCCCACTTTACCACTTACTAAATAAACCAGCAAACAGTTACTAAATAAACTTAATTATTAAGATATAGGCGACACGTTTGCTTTGACCAAACAGATGGTAACAGCCATAAGAATTATATATCTAACGTATAAAACTAAGTATGGTTCTATAGCATAATTATCGATGTAGTGGGCCCTTCACTTTCCGCTCACAGGTGCAGTCAAGTAACTTTACAAGTTTATACAGTACTAGCTGATTTGGCAAACATTGTTTTGAATTTGAAATTATTTCGAAAAAAAAATTTTATAACTTAGGGATATGAAAAATAGCCACTACCTGATTCTCAGACCTACTCAAAATGCTTATAAAATTTGGTAAAAACCAGTAAAACCGTTTCGGAGGAGCAAGGTAACTAGCATTGTGGCGCGAGAATTTTAATTATAAAAATAATGTTGACCGAAGAGACGAATTAGATCACAACATTTCTGCAATAGATGTAATTCTCCCTTAATGATCATGTCATGGAAATTACCCATACCTATACCAACGTATAATAGACCACCACAGACGGGGCCCAACAGGACCGAAGTTCAGCCAATGTTGCAGGGCTAGCGCAACCATGGCCTGTAGTAGGAAAAGGAACGGGGTTTTTAGTCAGTAAGAGTCTGACACTCCCACCTCACTTACCCCTGGGAGACAGAAGGCATTTGATGACTTTTCCTCGTTAAAAAATAGGTATTTATTATAGCAGTAACAAAAAGTGATATTAAATGTATTAAAAACAACGAATTAAACCGATTAAAATTGACTTTGTTTTACACTTTTGCTTAACAAAAAGCTTATGGATTACGACATTTAAAGGACATTTACAAGAAAGGCTTTTAAAGTAAAAAATCGGAACAGCATACCGGTTGTTATTGATATGATTTTATTTGCTTTGTTATTACATTCTCATAAACCTTGGACTGCAGTAGGTCAGACGCGTGAGAGCGCAGACCTCGAGAGTAAACGTGAACCAGTGTAGGGCTCTCGTGTATTTTGAAATATTCTTTGTAGTTTTTATAGGCCCTTTGAACGATAAATAAAAAGTAAGTTTCTCCAAAATGTTTTTCTTCAATCCAAAAAATGTTGAGCTCGAAACATAAGTTTTGATTTGGATATCTAACATCATATTGAATTGTAATTTTCAAAAAAAAATACATCTGTAGTTAACTCGGATTCTGGAATCGAGGAAATAGATTGAACCCTAAGCTTCAAATAACATACCCGAGCGTAGGTACGTCTAGCCGTAAGCTCGAAAAGCCATCAGAACTCTATAGATGGGTTCCACTAGGAGCCATTAACCGGGTTGTGGGTACAAGCCAAATAATGTATTTGCTACTCCGGCCCGGAACAGGAGAAAGAACTGCGTGATTTTTAGTCAGTAAGACTCTGGCAGTCAATCCCCAACGGGAGAAGTCATTAAATGATTTTAACCGCCAAAATAACCGATTAGCAAAAATGATACAACATAAAAAAACTAGTGAAGTGAGTGCCACAATTAATATGACGTTATGATAGTATTAAATGTTATAAAAATTATCTAGTTTTAATTCCACGACAAAAAGCCAGGCTTATTGCAGGATGCAATCCCACTCTATGCAATCATGCATATGCACATTCAGCAATGGTGACATGCATATGCACACGTACAAAACACTTCGCGGCCGAGCGCTTGTCGAGGCAACATCTCCTGAGGATGATTGCATAGGGTGGCTTGTTGCAGGACAACAAGACTGGTTTTTTGTTGCGGAATTAAAACTAGATATTTTTCATAACATTGTCATGGATTCCCGCAAAGTAACGCTTAATTATATCAATGAGGTTATGTTAGTAAATTGTCACAGTGTATAGGTATGTTTACTTTAACCTTCTGGTCTGTACAACTCATTCAGCGACTAATCTATAGCGATTTACTAGAGCCCTCCATTATTCCAATACACCTATAGTATTGGAATAATGAAGGGCTCTAGTAAATCGTACAAATAATTATCGATACCTACCGAGTAGTTTCCCACGGTGCCGGTATAAGGCCGAAGGTTGCACTACCCATTCTTTGGTTGACGCTCACCGCCAACCATTGCCAACGATTGGCGGTCCCGCTCCATATTGTACTGAGATCCGATTGTAGTTTGCGTAAAATGAATCGATTTACATGTTTATAAACGTCGCTATAAATATTGATTGATTTAGGTCGGTATTATATTTTTTTGCTATTGTTTAGATTTCTAAAAGGAAGCCTTTGTACTTATGCGTAGGGTCATGTGTACAGTTTTAAGGTTTTTTTGTGTTTCGGTTTCCACAAAAATCAAAGTGTACATAATTATTGTAAAGTTTTTGCCACTTTTCTGATTGCACACTATGTTGAACTGAAATTTTCTGCTTCGATGGTAGATGTGTCACAAATATGACAGCCGAGCATGAGGTGTGTGAGTTTTTTATTGATTATAGGTTCGCGCTTGACCGCTATCTCACCTGATGGAAAGCGACGATCCGATCGACGATGGAGCGC